CGAGGCGTCTCCTGCTCCTCCTCCTGCTCCTGTTCAATCAAAGTCCACTTCGAAGGATAGCGTGGCAAAAAGTAAACCTCTAAGTTTTAAGGCTGAGATGTTGTCTAAACATGTTGAGATGAAGAAAGGCGACTGGACTTGTCCAAAGTGAGTTATATTAGCTTATCATATTCATTGCTTGCATAATAATTTCTGCATGTTCAATGTGCATTTTCACATAGGATTTAAAAGACATTGTTAAAACGCTGAGCTAAAGTTTCTCATTCATAAGCCATTTGTCCACAGAAATTAAGCAAGTGGTCTATCATCTATCAATTGCAACTGGTCTATCATCTATCAATTGCAACTTTTACGAATAGCAACTAGATATTAAATTATCTCTTTCTAAAATTTGTGGTGAAAATTATTACCTTTCATTCTTGTTTAGTAAAGTTCTTTTTCTTTGTATTAATATAGTCGTTCATATTTGGCTAGTGGACGTGTGGATGTTTTATATATCTTGTCAAAAATACACCTGGCTTTGTCCCTAAAGTGCAGCTCGTATGGTAAAAGACTGCTGCGACATTTGATATGCTGAGGTGCGGGTTCAAACCCATAATACCCCTCTTCTCCGCAACTAGTGTGTGTGAGCTTCGTCACTAGGCTTTTTGACCCAAAAAGATGCACTTGCTTCTTCCTTGTCATGTATACCAATCATTACACTTTCCACAATTATTCTCGTGTTAATAAAAGTCTATGTCTCATATAATTAGATGTTAGCTATTGAATGATTTGATCTTAAGAGTCAGTTCTTTTACCCCCCATAAATTTTCTGCAGATGCAATTTTATGAACTTCGCTAGGAATATGAAATGCTTAAATTGTGAGGAAGAGAGCCCAAAGAATATTGACCCTCCTAGTATTGAAATGATGGAAGGAGATTGGACCTGTCCTGAGTAAGTGCTCTGTTTGCTTATTAGCTTTTTTTCATAAGGCATTGTAAACTCCTACATGTGATTGTCATTTTCCTTTCAAAAGTCGGCTGATGCCAGTTAATAACAATATAATTATATATATGAAGTGCCTTCTGGCTCTTCTATGAATTTTTGTCTCCAAAGGTTTCTTTTCTATATGAAATTATGCATGTCAAACTGACCTGTAACTTAACTGCAAAAAACTTTTTTTCTTATTTCCCCCCTATGTTGTCCATATTCTCATTGTCTTCAAATACTTGTTTTTGGTTTTCTCATTTTTGGCGTCTTTGGTATGTTGAATTGCTGACTGCTCTTTGCTTTTTCTTCAGATGCAATTTCTTAAATTTTTCCAGAAACATAAAGTGTCTAAAATGCCAAGCAGAGGGGCCCAAGAAGGCCAATAGACTCAATATGAATGAGGTTCAAATGAAAAAGGGAGATTGGACATGCCCACAGTAAGCTTCCTATTTTCTCTGACAAGGAAAATTCCTATTGACATATTTTTAGTTTTGTATGATGGTGCATAGCAAACTAATCAATTTTTCGACAATTACTGATAAATTTAAATACCGATAGATAACTTCGACACGTTAACCTGGTAGCTGTTTTTTAATCAGTCTCAGAATTCTGTTAATTACCATCTCTTTCCATTAATAATTTCTTTCATTTTTCACGCGTTGTCTCTTTTTCACTAAATTTTTAGTTTCTAGGGGAAACGAGGTAAACCTGTTAAGGTAACCTTTCTTTCTTGGTTGGGCTCTTATTAAAGTCTAATCCAGTCAGCCAAAAGTGGAAGACTTGTGAAGTACAATTTTGAAGTGCTGATTGCTTGCAACTATTTTGGCTTGCCCTGACTTTTTGGGGCTTTCTTCTACTGAAGTATCTTTCTACTTCTCTATTCAAAATTCATTTCTTTAAAAATTCCATTCAGCTTGCTATCTGTTTTTCATCTTGTTCTTTTGCGATAGCTGCATTTTGCACTACGACTCTGATAAGGTACTTTGGGTATTATGGAGTTCCCAAGTCCCACATCGAGTAGTATAGGATGTTTGGTGGAGTATTTAAGTGGCTCACTTCTCCCCCTTTGATAGCTACATATCAATTGGTATCAGAGCTAGTTGTCAGGGGCTCGGATAGGGTGGCTATCTATGGACGGGATGACCGGAATGACCAAGTAAAGTCATATAATGTCAGCAGTTGGGGCGGTGCTATGATAGATGATTGGGTATTATGGGGTGTGTCAAAGTCTCACGTCAAGTATTATTGGATGCTGGGTGGAGTATTTATGTGGCTTTGTTCTTCCCCTTTGATAGATGGCTTTTACAGGAGGGATCCCCGAGTGCTTAGATACTTATCAGACTCATCCTAGAGTTCTTTCATTATTGCAATAGCTATGGGGTTCCTTACAGTTTCACCAGTTATTGAAGTCCTCATCAAACTCATCCATATGAATATATGACTATTGGCATTTGATGGATGGCTTTTACAGGAGGGATCCCCGAGTGCTTAGATACTTATCAGACTCATCCTAGAGTTCTTTCATTATTGCAATAGCTATGGGGTTCCTTACAGTTTCACCAGTTATTGAAGTCCTCATCAAACTCATCCATATGAATATATGACTATTGGCATTTGATGGATGGCTTTTACAGGAGGGATCCCCGAGTGCTTAGATACTTATCAGACTCATCCTAGAGTTCTTTCATTATTGCAATAGCTATGGGGTTCCTTACAGTTTCACCAGTTATTGAAGTCCTCATCAAACTCATCCATATGAATATATGACTATTGGCATTTGATGGAAATACATGTATGATAATCTAATCTAATGTAAATATTCTACTATAGGGAAATGATTGTAATACAGTCTTTTAATCTTAATGATCGGTTTATGAAATGTTTTGGCATTTTAGTGATTGAACCTATCCTGAAAAGTGTGTTTACAGAATGTGTCAAAAATAACATGTTGCTAACACCCGTCTTGTTAAATATATTATAGACATGGTTCAGGCTCCATATATCCTATATTTTTCCTACTGTTCTGTGCAATTCTATTCCCACCATTATCATTGTATACACCACGATTCTACCTGCTAATGTTATCAGTTCTACCACTATGCTATCGCAATATTTTATAGGTCCTTTGTGACTCTTTAATTATTTTGCTGCTAAAACTGTTACTCACTGTTCTTATGCATAGACATCTTTGAGCTTTAGCTAAAATGAGCTACATCTTTGTTATGAGCTTTAGCTAAAATGAGCTACATCTTTGTTATGAGCAAGAGCAAGATTTATATTTCATTATGATGGTTAATAACAGCCTAGCATTTCTCTGCATAGTATAGAATCCAAATGTGGACATTGACTTTTGATAGTTAGTTAAAGAGTTTTCCTGTGTATGTAGGTGCGGATTCATGAATTATGCGAGTAATGTCAAGTGCTTGAAGTGTCCTGAGCCAAGGCCCAAGAAAAATTCCGGGGATTGGAATTGTCCTAAGTAAGTGTTTCTCTTGCCACCATCATAAAAGCTTCTTGTTTCCCATGCTACTTTATGGTTACCCAATCTCTTCCATTAAGCAAGGTCTATTAAATCAAAACTTTGATATTGACTATTTCAAATCTTTTTTTTTTCATGGTTTTTTCTGTATGCAGGTGTGAATTTTTGAATTTTGCGAGTAAATCCAATTGTTTTCGTTGTGAAGAGTCAAACCCAAATCCCAAGAAATATCCTGGAGATTGGAGTTGTCCAAAGTAAGTCCATTGATTTTCTTCCTCTACCCAAGCTTATTGCAATTAAAAAAAAAATCATTTTATGTATTGCTTTGTGTAGATGTGATTTCTACAATTATGCAAGAAACGCGAAATGCTTGAAGTGCAATACTAAACAGCATAAAGAACAACCAAACAATGAGGATGAAGAGCGTATTTGGAGGAGACGAAACTGATTAAAAAATACCACCGGGGTTAATTTTGTTGAGGTCATGATTGTGTTTTTTGGTTGTAAAATTATTTGTTACAGATGCATTATGTGTCCAATTTTCTTAATCATACTTTTCATTAATGTTGAGCTAATAGCTTCTCCACCTTTGAAAGTATCACTTGACATTGTGGTGTGCTATTAACTCATAATAACATGGGAAAAAGGGTTATCCTGCTTTGTTTGGTATTTTATCCATAATCTTGGTAAAAAGATCAGTAAAATTTTATTACGAACTGTTGTATCACTGGAGATCAAACTCTTCAAACTCTTGTATTTAAGATTGTAAAATCTGAGAGTTTATAGATTTGATTTGATAGACTCGACTTAACTCAACTTAACTCGTTGCAAGTTTATCTATTAAACTGCAAATGTTCAGTGATAACACTATGTATGATAGTCCAAGAATTCCTCTCTAGCAATTCCTTGAGCTCCTAAGCATGACTTCCTCTCTAGCAATTCCTTGAGCTCCTAAGCATTTTTTATCGGCCAAAAGTAACAAGTTGAGAGGAATGTGTGCTGGATAGGTAGCACTTTACATCAGTGCAACAACTATCATAACAATTTAAAAAACTAAAAAAATGCTTAAATTTGAGAAACAAAAGAACTTGTTTATTAAGAAGCATGAGAATCTGAAATCACAACTGAAAAATCATTCTTCAAACATAAATAATCTTATGAGTTTTGAAAGCAGCAGTGCATCATCAAAAATGGACTTCAAAGCCTTGTCTGGAAAACTTTAAACAGACTGATAGCAGACAAAACTAAAACAATCAATATTTTTTAAAACAAAAGCAAGAAAATACAAAAGACATTAATATCTTAAGGATCCTACAAAGGGAACGGAGGAGATGTTTACTCAACTTACTAGGTAAGGAGGCATCACCATTACAACTATAATCTCCGTAAATTTTGTGCGTCTATAACTAGATCAAACAACTTGTATTTATAAGTGTTGCAATAATTCATTGAATAAGCACTAATCTAAAAAGTTGTATAATACATCACAATCCAAGAAGTTGTTACACTTAAGGAGTATCTGCATGATCATAATTCTAGCAACAACCTTAGTCATAAATGCTCCTCAAAAAGTCTATAAATTGTTGCTTGTACCAATCCACTGATCAACATCAACCGCACTGCATAGTAAAATAACACAATCTTGCAACTGTTTTTAAGAGCTCACATTTTTCTATGACAAGCATACACAGGCAATTAACAATCAGTTACTTCTAGGAGTCACTATAATTAGTACAGACTCATAAACAAAAATTGAGAAAAAAGTTGAAATATTTTAATAGTATAAAAGATTCAACATTCATGCTAAGGTTTGGCTAATATCCCACAGAACCTTGGTGTAACAACATATATGCATACAATCATTTTTTACCATAATACCTACCATACACATAAAAGATAAAAAAATAGAAGATCATCAAATTAAAGACATATTCATAACTAATATGTGAAGTTGGAACACATTATTAAGTGTTTAAAAAACGAATTAGAAATAATAGAAGAAGTTCCAAAAAATTAGAACAGGAACTAAAATTGTACCGTGTATTTTGCTTAGGAGATAAATTATTTAAAAACCATTGTAGAACAGCACTACCAGAAATCATAAAACTAATTTGAGTTTGAGAAATGGATAGAATGGAATTCTCAGTATTAATTTCAGAAACAGGCCAAGGGTTCACTCATACATCCAACAAGCAACTGTGATCATAACTTGGTGTGTCACATAAAACCAGAAATTCAGCAAGCTTTGCAATTGACAAGAACCAGAAAAAAGAACATGTAAACAATATTGTCATGTGATCATAAGAGAGCAAAATAGAAAAACCTGCAATAAAAGGGAAAAATGAAAATGCTTCATCCAAATATCCTTCTTTACAAAGGCCATTAATCATCACAGTATACATTCTAGCATTTAAATGATAGCCTTTAATCGAAAGATCCCTATAAATCTCTTGTGCATCCTCAAGTCTTCCATTTTTGCATAGTCCATCAACAAGTATAGTGTATGTATACAAGCTCGGATGAATCCCTTGGTCTTTGATCTTCGTTAGTAATGCATTTGCCTCGTCAACCTTATGGATTTTGCACAAAGCATCCAATAAAGAATTATAAGTGATCACATTAGCAGGTTGGCCTCTGTCATGCATCTCATCTATAAGATCCCAAACATCAAAGATTCTTCCCGATTTACAAAGTCCATCAATAAGCAAATTGTATGTTAAAGTATTAGGAGCCATGTTTTTCAAATGCATTTCTTTGAATAGATTCACTGTTTCATCCACCATTCTACTCTTACATAATCCATCTACCATGACACTGTAGCTGTGAATATCTGGTCCAACTCCTCTTGGAACAAAAGAGTTGAATACATGTTTAGCCTTGTTCACTTCTTTAACCAAGAAATATCCATCCATCAAAGAAGTATAAGTAATAACATTAGGTTTCACGCCTTGTTTTATCATAACAGCCAACACATCTCTAGCTTTTTATACCTCTTCTTCCTTACAAAAACCATCAATAAGTGTATTAAAAGTATGAACATCAGGGCTGATACTTTTCAACAACATCTCATTTAACAAACCAATTACTTCTTTCAATTGACCGACAATGCAAAGGCCGTATATCAAAGTATTAAAAGTGATAATATATTAATATCAGGAGAAATTCTCTTGACAATCATTTCAGAATATAAATCGAAAGCATCATTCACAAATTATCCTTTCCCAAACTATCAATGACTGTGTTGTACATTAGCACATCAAGCTTAACCAACAAACCTTCTTCGATCTTTTTCAAAACCTGCATAGCAGCTTTTGTTTCTCCTATTTTACATAAACCGCCGATCAAGGTTCCATAACTAACATGATCAAGTTGAAACCCATTAGCTATAACGTCATCGTGAAAGTGAAGGGCTTTGTGAAGCTTGCCACTGTCACAGAGACCTCTGATGAGTGTAGTAATTGTTATGGTATCAGGGTGAAAACCTAGCTTGAGAATGTTGGCGAATACAGAAAATGCAAAATTGAGTTGATGAAGGTGACAGAAACAGTTAATGAAGATGTTCAAATTAACAATGTCGGTTCGAATTCGTCGAAGTTGCATTTGTTGAAAAAGAGAAATAGCAGTTTGAAAATGTTGAATCTTAACAAGGGAAGCTAATATCTTGTTAAATTCAAAGATGGGAGGGGCAGGGTTTGTATTGAGCATGCTATTGAATGAGAAAACAGCATCATCAACAGCATCATCAACATTGTGATTGTGAGAGAAGGGTCGTAGAAGAAACAATTTGGAAGACGGAACAGAGAGAGTGTACCTTGATCTCAACACTCACATTGCTTCTTCAACTTGGAATGTGAACAACTTTGTTGACTGCCACAATAGAAAATACTAGTATATTTTCCAATCACAATAATGGCAGGAACGGGATTGAGACAGAGATGAGAATTAAATTTGAAGGTGGAAATTGAGATGATAATGTATCTCCACCCCGGTCCCATTGACATACCTATTTATAATAGTAATAGATGGAGTATTGATTTAGTGAACTTTTATTTACTCACACTATCTAATTTTTTGTGATGAGTAAAAAAATTGTCCCATATTAATTTATTTATCTTTGAAAATTGGGTCGCTATTTCTTGGATGACAAAACCAATCATCTTTAAACTGTATTTATAGATTTAGGAGATACAACAATGATATTCATAAGTCTTTAAATTCTCTGTAAAAGATCAATTGCTTATGGTATTAAAAAATCAAAAGTGTCAAAAGCAAATAGTATGAATGCCCGTGTTAGCTAGGATTTTCACACAGATTATAATCTAACCAAAAGCTAAAAAGATTCTTCGAGAACTTTGAATTATAGGAAGACGACTACAGAAGCAGTCAACAAGGAGAGATTTCACAAATAGTCAATTAGGCTTGTGGACGCAGTCGACCAGAAAAGAGGTCTCGTGAGGAATGCATTGGGTCCAGGAACGTTAAAAAGCCCAAATAGTGCGTAACTAGCAAAGCAAATTGTTATGGATGGAGAACGTGAGTTCGACAGCAGGAATGAAGAACATGGGTTCGATAGCAGGGATGACGAACGTGAGATCATAGAGAGAAGTTACAAGAGACGTGTGGCTTATTAAGAAGCGAAACTCGCTGAAAAGTAGTTATTTTTTTGTATTATAAATAAAGCACTTAATGCATAGTGTTAAGGGTTCAAACTTTCACATTCCTACACGCGAGTCACTCAGAGTACCCAAACGAACGAGAGAAATGAGTCAAGATAGGGAAATGTACGTTTGAATCAACTCATTTCAACTAGTTTGATATTATGTTATCTATTTTTACAGTTTAAAACATATTTTGTTTCATTTTACAAGTCCTGCTTTATTGCTTTTAAATTTATTTTGTCTTAGTCGAACGAACCCTTTTGAACATATTTTGTGAAAAACACTCGAAAACTGAAGCACTGTACTAAGATTCTCTGGTCGATCTCGCCAGTAAACTTTCTGTTAAGAGACCAGCGTTGTTTGCCAAAACCATAGGTGAACAAATTAGCACACCCAGTGAGACAATGCTAATAATTTCGTATTTTGTGTGTGATTTTACAAAGTTTCTTATAGTTAGTTTGTGTGTGTATGAATTTAAGAAGTGGTAAACTTTTGTCCAAGTCTAGAATGCCACGCTCTGACACAAACACTGCACATACACAGAGTTCTATACAAAATTTGGACGTCATACCAGTGAGTACCACAACTCAAAGCGTGGTAGTTTTATCTCCTGTGAGATCGACCGTTGTTCATGGTTCAGTAACAACCGTCACAATGACAGAACCTAGACATGGGATATCACCATCTTTGAATACTACTTCTGTTGTGGCTTTAAGTCAACATATGTATGAGAGTAATTTAGACTTAGTAAATATCTTAACTCAACAAACGCGAGTTGCCCTCAATCCTGTAGTTGACCAAATAAGTAGATTGATCGACTCATTTGGAGTCCAACCAACTCAAATGCGCCACAGGATGTTAAGATTTTTTGAGGAACTAGATGGGGACCACAATGAGCTTCCTTTTAGACCCCGAAGAGTGGAAACACCCACTTGTGAAGAGGAAGAATTCGTTAAACAATACGAACCTAGGCCGGTCGTAGTTAGGAGAAACTAAAATGTTGACCGAGTGTTAAGAAATGCCATTGTTGGCGTAACAACATAATAAATGTCGTAGAAGAAGTATTAACACGATCCGAGGTAAATGTTGGCCTTCGGAGGCTCAATTACTCTTCGCCCTTGCCTGATTACATTCGACAGGAAGAATTACCTAGGGGATGTAAGGTGTCTAAATTTACCAAGTTCGCTGGTGATGCCAATGAGTCGACCATTGAACACATCGCTAGGTAAGAAACAAAAGCTGTCGATATAGCCAATGATGAGGGTTTAAAATTAATACTTTTTCCTAATTCATTGACCAAAAATGCTTTTACTTGGTTTACGACATTGACTCCAAATTCCATACGCACTTGGGAACAACTTGAGGGTTATTTCATGAGAAATTTTATACCGGTCAACCTAAGATAACTTTGAAAGATTTATCTGAAGGATCAAGCGCTTACCATTGTGCTAAAAGCAATTGCTTATAGCCAAGGTGCAACTTTATTTCCATATAGTACGAGCATTTTCAGGGGCTGCACCTAGTTTACTGAGCGCCCATGGGTGGGATGTTAAGCCCTTCGAATCCCTAAGGTTGACGCTGGATATTTTAATCCAACAATCTCCCCCCAGTGTCAGTCGGGGGGATTCGAACCCATGACCATGCTCTGATACCACTTGAAGGATCAAGCGCTTACCACTGCACTAAAAGCAATTGCTTGTAGTCAAGGTGCAACTTTATTTCCATATAGTACGAGCATTTTCAGAGGCTGCACCTAGTTTACTAAGCGCCCATGGGTGGGATGTTAAGCCCTTCGAATCCCTAAGGTTGACGTTGGATATTTTAATCCAACATTATCCTCAATCAAGAGGAGGTCGTCCGAGTCAATGGAAGATTATTTGAATAGGTTTAGGGTCCTAAAGTCTAGATACTTCACTAGAGTTCCCGAGCATGAGCTGGTCGAAATGGTCGTCGGGGGCTTAGATTATTCTATTAGGAAAAAGTTTGATCCTCAATCTATTACAGACATGTCTCAACTAGCTGATAAGATTTGATATGTCGAACATTTGAAAATAGAGAAAGTTAGGGTGTTAAAGGATCATAGAAAAGGCAAAGTGGCCTATGTAGACACATAAGATTATTCCATAGAGTCCGAGAGTGAATTACATGGAAGAAGGAGAAGTTAATGTGGCTGAATTAAAAGCTGGACCTCCATATGCATGTAAAGTATAAGATCGTCAAAAGGAATGACGATCGAAGAACCAAAAAATGATATATTTAGTACCAAAACATATACTTTTGATGTGTCAAAATGTGATGAAATATTTGATGTTTTAGTTTTAGATGGTCAGATTATAGTGCCTCCAGTCATTACAAATCCACCATTAGAGCAAAAACAAAAAAGAGGTTTCTGCAAGTATCATAATTTTTTGGGTCATAATACTTCTCAATGTTTTATTTTCAGGGATTTGATTCAGAAGGCTCTAAAAGATGACCGATTGAAATTTGGTGAAAAACCAAAAAGCTTCATGAAGGTCGACTCACATCCTTTACATGTTATTGATACACACTTTGTCGAACCATTGGAAGTGCTGATGATCGAGACTACTGATAGTCTCGAAGGTGAACAGGTGGATCTTATCGACTCACTCGCAGCATTGACAATCAAGATCACTGATGGTTTTGAGAATGAACAAGATGTGACCACTGATCTAATGGTAGCTGCAACAGTCGAGACTACTGAAGGTCTCAAAAGTGGCAATGGCAATTTGTCTAAGCCACAATAAATGATGGTAGTTGATATTGCTGAAGAGCCTGAATATAATCAAAGCGACAAGGAAAAAATAGATTGTGAAACTAAGAATGAGGAATTGTATGAAGAAAAAATTGTTGAATTAATGAAGGTTGTTTTCCCCATACCTGAAGAGGAGTTGGTGGATTTTCTGAATAGGTGCAAGCTGGGTAATTCCAGGTCTATGTTATGCCCAAATTGCAACATAGTCTATGACAAAAATGCTACAAAGAAAATTGAGGCGTTGAAGAAGAAACACCCTCAAGAGAAGAATCCAAAGGTGGTGTTCGACCATGCAAAGGGATCGTACAACGTTTAAGTGCCCCAGGGGAAACCTAGGTTTCCGTATCAAAGGACCTTTATGCTACCAGTTGATGTTCCCAACAACAACTGGGTTCGTCCTTTTATCCAAGGGGGGCAAACCAAAATTGGAAGGTAGTAAAGAAAGTTTGAGGTTCGAGTCATAAGTGGGAAATGATGGAGAAAAGATCAAGTTCTTCCCAATTTGCTGAATTTGGGATCACTTTAAAGAAGTATCATGTTCCTCCCACATACAAAGGGAAAAATCCTATGAAAAAGACTCAATGGAGAAGGTTTTAGAGAAACAAAAAAGCTGCAAGAGAAGCGACATTAAAAGTTGCTCCATCAAAGGGTTAAAGCGTTCAAAAGGAAGTGCATTATAGACCAACAAAAGAGAGGTTATTGATGCCGGTTGTGAGTGCGCTACCAATAAAAGTTGAAAATCCTGGTGATGACAACATGGGCGATGAACTATATGATGACTTTGAAGATAGCTCAGAAGATGGTTTGATTATTCATTATAATATTATGTCAGTCCTTCCTGATGAGTATGGTTTCGTGTCAGAGGCATCTGGGGACAAAGAGGAAGCCATATACGAAGAATCAGCAGGCCAGAAACATCTATGCTACTATGTCATGAGTAATGGGGTGGTCGAAGAACAACATACAATGTTTAAAAAGCCTACATCTGGTATGATGTATCATCTTAAGCCTTTGTTTATAAGGGCTAAAGTTGATGGTTTTCCTGTGAACAAAGTATTCGTTGATGGTGGTGCTGCTGTGAACTTGATGCCACAATCATTGTTGAAAAGGATTGGCAAGTTCGACACCAACCTCAAACCACATAACATGGTTTTGTCAAACTATGAAGGGAAAACAAGTCACATACTAGGTGTCATTCAAGTAAATTTGTCAGTTGGATCAACTTAAAGGCCAACATTATTCATGGTGATTGTGTCCAAAGCAAACAAAAACTT